GGGGGGGGGGGGGGTGTATTCATACTCATAGTCGTGCATGCCGTAGTCGTTTGACCATTGACCTCGCATCCCTACAAAGCCGGGACGGAGCACGCCGGGTTCTCACCGGACCAGGCTCTCACATCACCAAGCGCGAAGCGCCGTGAGGTATTCGGCGAGTCGCATGAAGGGTGAGCTGCACCCTGCTAAGGGTGTTCGGCATCTTGTGCTTACTTCCTTGCGTACGGATGACAGCTACGCATGACTTAATTTATTTTCTGGTGCTTTCACTTCCAGAGACAGTTGTAAGCACTGTGTAACTGCCTCGAGGAAGCTTGACCATTTTAACACAACGTGGTGCGATCATCCCCCGTTGCGCGGAGTGAGGTTTCTCGACCCCGCACAACATGATCTACTCGACTACCATTATGGTTACCGCCAAAAAAAAAACCAGAGGTAAAAAAAAAAAAACGGTAACCTGGTTGCCGAGTTCACGAAGTGAATTGGCTTGTTTTACAACGTCGTTGCCAAGCGACGAAAACCCAATCCCGATGGCAAACACCGAGTGGGGGGCTTGTTTTACAACGTCGTTGCCAAGCGACGAAAACCCAAACCCCGATGGCAAACACCGGGGGGGGGGACCTTCGACGACGCACGGTTGTGATGGTAAATAATTGCGCGGTCACCGCCCTCCAAGCATCGGAATGTTGCGGCCCGGACGGGGTTGGAAAGGTACTCGTTTTTCTCTAGCCTGGATGCACGAATGCCCACAGAGACGGTCTACCCGACCAGAATCTACCAGCTCGAGCAGGAGCAGCGCCTCCCCTCCCGGCTGGAAGCCTCCACATCAATCAACGGGTGTTGTTCATTGCCATGAGCGGCAATGATCGGCAGAGTAGCGCACATGCATGAGAGCACTCTCCATCTACCCTTTGAGGAAGCAAAGAAGCAAGAAGCGGAGTCACAAGCAGCCAAGACGCGCTGTCACTTCTGCCCTGCACAACACACACCAACGCCAAACAATCCACACGGGTCAACAAGAATCACCCCATAGACAGCTTGCGCGCGATGTCCGCGGGTTCCGCCGTTTCGTGACTTCTCCCTCTCCCCCCGCTCCTCACCTTGGGCGTACAAAACCTTAGCGACCAGCGTGCCGACGATCTGCTCCGCTCCGACCAGAGCCAGGAGCATGCCCGCCACGTTGATGTACAGCCCCATCCTCAGCGAGCTACGCATGCGCACTTGCGCGTCGTCCACCTCGGCCAGAGTGCCCAAATTCCTCCACCCCTTCGCCTTCAGGTTGTACCCCCACGTCCTGCGCGTGCGAAAAAATCCGCGTTGTGGAAATTAGCGCAGGAGTCGTCCGGTTTGGTCGGTAGCGCGCGGGGCGAGCGAGGGGGGGCGTTACGATCGGGGCTTGATTGAGCTCACGGCTTGTTGGCTCTCTCGCGCTCGTGGGTCTCTCGTGATGCGCCTACGCAAACCCCACAGCGACACCTCTTTCGGTGGCTAAACCCACAACAGGAGTCTCCGTTGTCGGGCGGCGTAGCAGGAAGATATGGGGCACTAACCCAGAGACCGGAGAGAGACACGGCAACGCTCAAACGAGAACAAAACGTCCGGTTGGGCAAAATTGATTGGATTGTCTCCTGCTTGGAAAAATGTAACAAAACATGGGTCAGAAGCGACCCACTCACCGCAGCATTTACCGTCTATTAACCGGGTAGGCGGCGGCGGTGTGGAACAGCTGTAGTAAAATTACCAACTCACCAGCAGATGCTCGCTGCCGAGCAAGCAAGGCTAGCCACGGCCAGCGCGACCCCGTTGCCGAGGATGTTGCCTCGGGTGGAGCGGTTGGTGACGGCGTTGGAGAAGAGAAGGATGATAAAAGCCACCGTCGACAGGATCGTTTGCGCCCACCACGAAAGCCAGCTCACCTGCCGTGGAATACGAAGAACGGTTCCGGAAGAAACAAAGAGCTAACAGGGTCAGTGCAATGGGGCGCGTGGGGGAGGGGGGGGCGGAACACCTGTTCCTTTCCGGAGGGGAGACTGGGGAGTGCGTTAGCTCTGCGTGAAACGATGAAACTCCTCTCCATCGCGGCCGTACAACAGAAAACAACCCAAAAGCGTGGTACGAATGACCAACAGCAAGAAAGTGGTGTTCCAGGCGGAGCATGAAAGGGCTCTGACTCCCTGTTAGTTCCCACAAGAGTCCAAGTGGGAGAATGAGTGTGTGCACGCAAGGTATCTGAACACCTTACCCCCCAACCGTACCACATTTAACATAACGGGGGTAGTGCAGAAATATCAAGGATACCCTTTTGTAGGTGCACGACACGCGGTACGGCCGCCTGGTGCAGGTCAGGCGAATGTGCAATCGAGCTTTTCACGTGTGTTCTATCCGTGGCCGCGCCGGGACTCAAGACCAATCAGACCATACGTCTCTTTGCAACGGGGCGGCCGTACAGAACACATCAAGATCTCCCAGCAGCAGCAGCAGCAGCAGCAGCAGTGCCGGCCCTGAACTTACAGCAATATACGCAGGAAGTACGACCAACAAGACACAGGCGTGGCGGCACCCACCTGTCGGAAAACCGTCGTGCTGCGCTTCAGCTGCTTGACGACAGACCTTTGAGCGTAGGGCGTGTGTAAAGGCCGGCGACGGACGGTGCCCGGTAAAAGATTACAACACCCACCAAGATACGCGAACAAGACACGCGAACTAATGTAGGCAAAAACATTAAAAAAAGTATGAACCCTGAACCAAGCAAAGCGACGTTTGCTTTTGCGCATCGACCTTCAACGAAGAGTTAACGAGGTTGAGGAAGTCTTTCTGTACCAGCGACGAAGTTCGTCTCGTGCCAGAATTACAGAATACCAGTCATTACTGTCCATCGACCGGTAGACTCCGAGTGAATATCGTCGCGCAACAGTTGATGAATACTAGGGCACATCAGGTCCTCTACAGCAGTATTGGAAGCCTAAAGAACTCAGGCGTCGGGTTCATGTAGACTAGACTGTTCGAGAGGATGGGTCATTTCAACTATTGAACATGCATACAACGGCACATGTGCATACATGTAGCATGCGCTGGTTAGACCCCAAGGAGGGAACTACTTGCTGTTCTTTGCCGTAAAGCGGAACATCGGAACCATGCAAGCAGCAACATTGTCAACTCAGCAACCCAGCGTTTCCAAGCCCACACGTCTATGAGAGTGCAGCAAACAGTTGTGGCCACCCCGCCCTAACCTAACAAGGACCATCATGCCCGCACGACGAAGCAAGAGGGTGGTAGTCCAACTCGGCCACCGGTGAAACATATTGAGTGTTGACAGTTACACACACACCTATCCAAGATCTCCTCGCCATCGCTGTACTCCTCCCCATCCACATCGTCATACTCGTACATCTCCTCATCCTCGTCCTCCTCCGCCGCCACGCCGCGCAGGCGCGAAGGCACTCGCCCCAACAAGCCTCCCCGGGCCGCCGCCCCCAGTCGCACCCACGGCCGAAGAAATCGTTGCTGTTTTCGAGACGGTTCGAGAGACATCAACGCTGCTCCTGCTGTCGGCGAGCGAGGGGTCACTGCTCGCGCGTTGATAGCACCGTGGCAAAGGAAGGCGGAGCGGTGGCACCCAGCGGCGGCTGGTGGCGGAGAGACGAAGCCGGCAACAGAGCCTACCGTCAGCGCGAGGACGGCGGTGGCGGAGCCCATTCGAAAAACGTACATGATACCTTGATTCCTGTTGCCCTCTCAAGCAACGAGGAGAGCAACCAAACGCTCAACTGCAGCTCCCACGACAGGATCCGACAGACCCCAAGAAGTCTGTAGAGGGTGCGGACACACTTGTGTGCCTGTGGGTCTATTCAAAGACCAGAGCCAGACCGAGACGGTTGCAGATGATTGCAATGCAATAAATGATTCCAAGAGAGAGGCACAGGGGGGACGCATAATCATCTCAATATCACACACCTGTACCATTTGTTTGAATTGCGGCGGAATACAGGATGTCGCGGATCCCCGGGTCGGAGCGAGGTTGTTTGGTCCACACCACAGCAATAGCCGACTGCTCTGTGGCGGCAACAAACATGTCGACCTTTGACGATGACGATATGGACTTCGGGGGTGATGATGATGGGGTGAGCTTGGAATTTTTGGAAGCTCTAGCAGCAGCAGTGTGTGTTGAGAACCAGACACCTCGGATCTCCACTCTTCCTCCCCAAAATTCAAAAATGAGCACAAACCAATCAATGCTCTGTACCCTTGGTATAGCAAGGATGGTCTGCCCTTTGTATCAGCACGACACGCGCGCGCTTCAACGAGGACGCATTGGAATGGATTGTGGGACCCCATGCATCAGCATCCCATTCCATTCCGCCTCTCCTCACTACAATGTGTTGCGGACTTGCCCTCACACCACCGAGCTCGCAACTGGCCTGTATGTCCCTACACTCGCAACAGGACGATTTCTTGACGGGCAAGCTTGCAGCGTTGGGCATCGACGAAGACCTAGAGCTTTCGGGGGGCGAAGAAGAAGATGACAACCGTGCTCCCGCCACAGACCCCGCCGCCGATTCATCCAACAAGCCCCCCGGCATCGTGGCACCATCGCCACAGCAGGCTTCCGCTTCCACAGCAGTAGCAGCAGTTCCCGCTGCAAGTCGTTCGACGGCTCCCGCGCCCGCTGACGATTGGGGAGCACCACCAAGTGAGGGCTGCTCCCCCGGTGACGCGGGCATCTGGGGAGAAGTAGACTCGTGGGGGGAGACCCGAATAGCAACACCAACCGTCGAAGCACCACCCGCTGCGGGAGGAGGACGGGGAACAGCCGTGGAAGATGGGGAGCTCGTGCAGATGATCGACCAGCCCTTGCGGACCTCTCGCGGCAGGGAGCAAAGGTCTGCCCGGGACAGCGGTAGAGGCGGGGGGCGAAGAGGCGGGGGTGGCGGCGGCAGGGGCAAGCGGGGGCGGCCGAAGAAGGACGGCAAGGCGCGAGGGCGGAACGTGACGATCAAGGAGTGCGCCGAGTGGGTGTGCGAGCGCCTCGGCGAGCCCAAGTACTACCTCATGTGTCAAGTGGTGTCCACCATCGGTTACAACAAGACCAGGGACTTGCTGGAGGCTGTGCAAGAGACCCAGGTGAGGTGGCGCTGCTGGTGGTGGTAGGAAAGAAAAGGGCGGAGAAAAACGGCGTCACCGTTTGCCGCCGCAATGTCGTTCAAAAGTTTGACGACAAAGCTCTGCTGTGGCCTATTGCCGAGCGACGAACTAACCGGATGGCATGCGCATAGGTGCGACGACAGTGTTTGCTCAAGAAGTAGTCACGTGGCATATTTTTTCTTGTCAGCTTACATCAAGTCTGCTCACAGCTAGTCTGACCTGCGGGGCGCTGGTAGCACACACTGATGCCCTAAATACTGTTTCATCTTTCATCGGGTCCTGATGACCTCTGCGCTGCTCTAGTACGCCGAGTGTCGCCAAAAGTAGTTCTACAGACTACACGCCGGTGAGCGTGAACAACCCCAACCCACGAAGCACGAATGCACCCTTCGACGACCCACCATCGTGCCTCGAAACGCCGTTGTTGCTGCTGTCAAGACACACCCCTCAACCCGCCCCGCCACCCCCGCCCGCCCACAACACACGCCCAACAAAACAGGAGACGGGGGGTATGCCGACCGCGGACGGGAGTCGGAAGCGCACCGCGGGAGGCGTTTTCTTCACCCTCCTCAAGAAACACATGGAACCGTCCCGGCTCAAGGAGCTGTACGCGGACGAGCTGCGCGTCAAAAAGGAGAAGGACAGGGCGCGCAGAGCGGCCAACAAGCGCAAGGCCGAGGCGGCCTTGGCAGGGGAGGACGTCATGACGCCTAGAAATCCCCCGAGGAACAGAGGGCGCGGCGGCGGTGGCGGCGGTGGTGCCACGAGGGCGGGGAGAGATATGGGGAAATGGGCCGGCCCTACCGCCGGAGCGGGCGGTAGGGATGGTTGCGGTGATGCTGTTGCGGCGAAGCGCGCACGAGCGGGCATCAGCAGCCTCTCCAAAGAATGAGACAGCGGGGATGCTGCCTGCAAGGCGTTTTTTTCTCAGCATAAACTGCCGTGCCGCTCATAGTGCGAGATTGGGCGACACCACGTGGTTCTTGTAGGACGACTATTAAATGGTAAGGGAGGGGTCACTCCGTGGCGCCGTCCATCTATCTACCCCGCGCATGTTGTTCTCGTGTGCGCTTTCTCAGTGTCACCACCTATGTTTTTTGGACGGGTGAGTGAAGTGCTGCGCTAGGCTTGGGGCGGCAGGTTGTCTCATGCATTAGAGAACGTGAGCGGTAGTGGCTGCAACCATGTTGAATAGTGCTTCTTTATTGCGCTGGCGGTCGCACACACGCCTGTTGTGGATTTTAGATCCCCGAAGGGAACTCGTCACATGCCAACGGAAATCTCCGCTTGGCAGGGGTTCCAGCTTGCAATACAACGCGCCCGGGACTCGGTGTGCTGTCATGTTCTGTGTGTCATGGATTTGCCATTGACATAGGCGTTGGCACTGTCGTGTAACGGTTTACGCTCTCTACTTGGCTATCGTCACCCTATGGGCGATATTTTTAGTGCCGTTGAGATAGGCGTTGGCACTGTCTACTAACGGTTTTAAGTTCTGTACTTGGCTATCGTCACCCTATGGGCGATGTTTTCAGGGTTATCATTGCCCTGGATGTGAATCGCCCTGACACCCGGTGGCTGGAGACCATCAGGTCTTGTCGATATCTACATTCCTACAAACAGCGGGTTAAGCTCGGGAAGACTTGTATTTGACTCATGTAAGCTCGGGTCAACGGTTCAACAAGGTGAAACGTCAGCTGCGCTCCTGTGATGTTGATCGGGCAGTAGAGCATCCCTGATTTCTGGATTGTTCACATGTCATTGCCATGCATGTGTCCGAAACCCAAGAGTATCCGTCTGGGGATCAGCGGGGGCGTGGATCTATCTCGGAGAGTTAGGATGTTATAGTTCTCATCGAAGTGAAACAAGTCCCTGCCATTGTTTTATGTACAGCGTTAAGAATGCGACGGTTCCAAAAAGCAAAATTGCGGAAGCCCACTTTCCTAAGCACGTTCACAACGGCCACATCAACTCAAGTCACTCGAGTGCGCCAAGAACCTAGCCCGCTTGCTGTTTCGACCGCTTGGCGGCCCCCTCGAAGTGCTCTTTGAACACCATGAAGCGGTTAGGCTGGTCCAAACAATTGTGAAGCCCGAAGTGCTTGCCGAGGAAGGGCTTCAGCTTCGGGGACGGCCTGTCGTACGCGATCTCCGTTGGCGTTAGCCCTTCCTCCTGTCGAAACCGTGCGCGCGAGGGGAAGGTTGGACGCAGTAGTAGCTCACCTCTCAGAATTTTAGTGCTGTGTTCGGTTTGTGTCTGAGGCGACAGGATCAGTCTCTTCCGAAAGCAGGAGCGTGTGTTGCCACTGCTGCAGACTTGATTCAAGGGATGCTGTCGAACGATTTCGTCCCTCCTAGATTGCCCTTCTTCGGCTTTCGAGGAAACTACTATTCGCAACATGTCGTGTACCGTGGTCAGAGAGCCTGTTGATGGATCTTACAAGGCCAAGCAAGGACGCTGGCCGACCGTTCGCAAAGTCTGTATGTACGTGCTTTCAGGAGACAAACGTTTCTGGCACGAAGGGGTGCCTTGTTGAAGTCGTAGGTCATTCGTTCGAAGAAATTATTGCAAGATCGATTCCTTTCCTGCCCACGAGTGTAGCGCTGTGCCTATCTAGCAATATCTTCACAGTGCTGAGTCCCGTACATATCCCACCTTCAGAGCTGATTTGAATAGGTCAAGGCCAAGGCCCCGCCTTTGCACACTCTCGTGCACATAGAAATCTAGGAGGCACATGGTGTCCTTCTCGATCATTGATCCGTTATCGTCCTGAGGCTCGCGATGCAACAACAGCGGCAGTAAGGGTCCAATGTGTGTATCAAAGAGAGAAAGTTGCTTTGCTTTGACCGAGGAATACCAAGCGTGTGGCTACAGCCACCAGCTCATACTAACTCCCACGTGTGCTGAGGAGGAAAACTTTTGAATGTCTGCCTGTGTTCGCATTCTGTTTGCATCTCTTCGCGTGACTAAGAAAAGTACGTTCATTTGTTGTGCGTACTAGGGACGGACAGACAGCACGATCGACGAAGACGTCACGCCATAAAGTTGCTGGAGGAGCTAAACCCCGTCGCAGGAAATTTCGTGTGCAGTAGGGGTGCGCAAAGCATCTTTGTGGGCCCGTGAAAACCCACTGAGAATCAATTCACCGATGAACGAAAGGCTGTTTGCTTCACTTGCCCTCTAAATTAACCGTCCTTGAGAGTCGCGAGAAGTCTGAATGCGGTCTAGGTCAATTGATTGGATAGTAATCATGAAGGAAGAAGACAGTCTACGGTCAGACAACATGTGGTTGACTGGTGTGTCGAACCTAAAGTGCTGGTTTTACGTTATAAATTTTCGGGCGAGTTCGTCGAGTGGTAAAGATCTCCGCTCTCGGTTTTTCGTTGATGTGCAAGGTTAGACTCATACCCACGAAATGGCTCTCTCCACATCATTCCAATAATATTGGGACATCAAAAGGTTTCCGTGTCGACAGACCTCTTACATTCTCGTACATTGATCACTTTCATGTTCGAAATGTATATCCAAACCACAGGAAGATCCAGGTCAGCTTTTCGAACTTATGGCCGTGACATCTCTGTTCAGAGTGCGCTTGTTCGTGGTGAGTATACCAAATTCCGTGACGTGACGACCCGCGGGAAAGACCGTTGAGAAATCACACGACGTTTTGGTGCGTGTACTCTTTCTTACGCTCACCGGGTATAAAAATAGATACTTCCGTCCCAGCCGCAGGAAACCTTGCAGGGTACCTCCAGTGCCGTCACACGTGATGTACAAGATGTCGTCCTTTGCCCGAATCTTGTCCGCCGTTGTCAATGGCGTTGTTTGTTGTTGCGCCTAGGGCAAGTATCGGTGTACCGTGTTGATGTCATGAGCCACACATACACCACATGCTATGTTTGACCCGAAGCATAGGGTAGTCTACAAAGCTTTTACGCCAGCTCATGTGTGTATCGGGGGAGATATAAGCAAAATTGGGAGGAGAAACATTATTGGCGAATGCAAAAGTCGAACAAATTCATCCCAAGCTACGGTCGGTCCCGGATTGTTTGTCACGCATGAAGCACCGAGAGATAGAATCGATCCTTGTCATGTACGTTGCCCTGTCGGCGCATAACACACAAACAAACAGTTTACCTCTCTCGCAACCGCCGCCTTGTATTTATGAATGATTAGTGTGCATGGATGTCTGTACCTTGCTCGATAGTTGTCCCATTTCATTCAGTGCCTTGTCGAACGCCTCGGAGCTTCGTGCGTCTATTGAACCTGCAGCAAATCCACCGAGCGTACCGGTGAGTCACAATCATGGCGGCCGTATTTCGAATACCCGAGCACATAAAGCCCAGACGGTGCATTTCCTGTGATGGAGTGCGCCTGTAGTCGGGAGAAGTTGTACATGGGATCCAGGAAACGGATAAAGGTGTCGTTCGGGCTACCAGGTACATGAAAAGATACAGCCCGGTGTGTGTATCTTGCGTCTTGTCCGTGGGAATAGATCGTTTCGTAGAATATACTGTACCTCACCTATTTTTTCGGCGTTCCATCGAGATATTCCAGGTTCAAAAATGTTATTCTTCATGAAGGACAGATCCATCACCCTGCCGCGGTATCGCCTGGGTTTCGATGGCAGGGTGAACTGGTTGATAAATCAATTGTCCGTGCAGCGGTGCAGCGGTGCAGCGGTGCGGCGGTGCGGCGGTGCGGCGGCGAGGCAGTTTTTTAATTGCGCCGCAGTTGATTGCGCCGCATTTTTCAGTTGGGCCGCATTTCTTGGATCCATCGCCCATCGCCCGAGAGTTGACGTGTTGGCGTAGTTGCCCCCGCGGCGTGCAAACGTCCAAACCACCCCGTGGTATGTTCTGTGGGGACCTGCAGCAGGTTTCCCTACTCTTTTTAAATGTTTGGATCATGTGCTGGCAAGGCTGGGGGGGACTCGGACGCAGAGAACAAGCGACGTCCAAAGAGATATGAAGGCGAGAGACCGACAGCTCCTCATTTTACTATTTTATCAAGCAACGCGAGACAATAGGCAGTTAGCGCATTAGTCTACACGCTGGGCGTCGTGCACATGAGCGTATCATTTTTATTGTTTTGTTGTTGTCCTTGTCGTCCTATATAATCAACTCTCCGCTCGTTCGTGTAGTCTGCGCAGTAGGCGGTCTATGGACATATTTCGCGGACGCCACTTAATCTCTTGTTCCAGATCACACAGGTTCACGGTCACAGGCGCTTCGAGCATCGTATATCGATGAACTTCTCTGTATCGTCTGGAGCAGGTCAAACACGCGAACTTGTCGTCAAGCAGGCGGAGAGGGTTGCGCGCCATACGCTGGTTGCAGATATCAGCAAGCTCGAGGAAAGGATTTCCGACGGTGAGTCTATTGCATCATAATCACGTGTGTGTGTAGACTGCATGTTTACATGTACATTCCTGCTATATTTGAGTCAACAGAGCTTAGTTGTAGCTCCACTGCTGTTGTAAGAGGTAACCCCCCTGCGGACGACAAGCCCAATGAAACAATATCACACGAAGAGTCCACGACTGTCCAACGGGGGACCTTTTCAGTCAGGTGTAAATATCGACAATTACCCAACTGTTCTTTACTTCGCCTTCCGATACCAGGTTTAGTGCGCGGTGGGCAGGTGTGACGAAATGCTTGCAAACCTAATTTAGTCCTTTCTACGAACTTTGCTCTCTTCTTAAACCTTCCCCTTCCTGTCGGAAACTTGGTGCTCCGTACGAAACCTATTCCTCGCGTCTAAAAGACGAACGCGAATACGAAGCCAAGGCCGCCGAACGACAGAAGGAGCAGCGTCGAAAGGAACAAGAATTGAAGGAGGCGGCCATACAGAATGTCGTGTCCGGAGCTAGCAGCAAGGTGACTAGTTTGGTGAAACCAGCTCTACGTTATCGTCTGCGCTCTAAAAGTAGCCTGCTATGTGGCACTTGCGCGGTGGTACACAGAAGAAATGAGTGCAAACAATCATTATATAACCGTCACCTCGCAACAGGATACAGAGATAAGAGACAACAGTATCCCATAGGTAAACAGAGTTGCAGATCATACGGAAAAACAATCAAATTGAGCTATGATGTGGATCAATTCTGGCTGTGTGAACGTGGTGGACGCAAAAAGATGTGGTTTCACAACCAAATCCTATGAACGCCGCACGGATTGTCGCCTGACTATACTGTTCAACGGAATCTGCCCTCCCCAGCTCTCAGGCAACTTGTTCGACAGGATGCAGGGCCTCGCAAAGCTTCATGAATCCGCCAAATCGGCCATGAAGTTCGAACTTGGGCAACTGGCGAACGTGGGAAAGGGCGCGGGCAAGGCCACGCCAGCAAACGGAGGGTCTTCGACCTCAGGTGCACTCAGACGAACTCCCGCAGTAAATACATCAGGACGAGAGGATGATGCCATCTCGAAGACCTTCACATAAGAACAGACAAGGAAATCAGCTGAGCATTAGACTATACAACCTGGGGACTTCGAGAACCACCAAAATACATTTCGAGCTGAATTCGGATCACTAGAATATCCAGCGCAACGAAAAGAAGATGTCAACACGTGCATGTCGCAAACAAAGACGCACGAAAAGGCCCCTATCAATTAAAAACCTCTTGGCGGGTCCGCTCAACGCAGCGTCCGCCTCCTTCTCGGCCGGTATCTCTGGCTGCGATCCCCGACGCGGCTTCAATACCTCCGTTCACCTGATGCACACAACCCGGCTTTGCTGCCCGTAGGTGCGAGCGAGCTGAAAATGCCGCTGCCGGGGGCATCGTCGGTTGTGGTGAAGGTTGTGCATCCCGCCAACGTATCCGTCCTGAGAGCCAAGCTTCACCGAAGTCTGGGCATCCCCCTCGAAGATGTTAGGTATTGAGAGGGAAGCTAAATAGCGCTCGGACGACACTTAAGGATTTGAACCTCTGTGTGTGTGTCCTAGTGCAAACGTAATATATTTTGGTCTTAAATCTCTCGAATGCAGGATAGCTATTGTTATGATGGGGCATGCACGACGAATGGATGCCTCCGAAGGACCCCCCCTTCCTATCTCGACCTTCTGAACACCCTTTGCACCCGCCCGCCAAAAACTTGCGCCCCCCTTCTCCAGGATAGTGCATCGCCACAAAACGCTCAAAGACGACGATCTAGTCCCGGACGACTCGGTGGACAACGGAGAGCAAGAAGAAGTAGAAGACGTGCTGGGCGGGGAAGGTCTTGATTTGAGCTACCTCTGGGTGGTGGACGCGGGAAAAGTGCTGTCTCGATCGAACAAATCCACCTCCGACACGGAAGGCTCATCTCACACCGCTAAAGGGGGCACTACTACCGACTCTGAGGTGAAGAATCAATACGGGCGGGCGGGGTGTGGCAGAGCACGGACGTTCCACACGTCCCAGCCATCGCTAGACGGTGTACCTTGCGTCTCCATGTGGGCAGCGAGCGGCCTCGTTTGGGGTTCGGCAGCATGTCTATCACCAGCGACACGTTTGGACACCGTTCATTCTCGCACTGCTCTGATGTCCATTGTATGACGATGTTACCCTGGGCCTATGGCATATTTCGCCGCAATCGCACTAACATCGCCCGCGAGCCGCAAATGGCCACTGCATGGCACATCGAAAACAGTATTTTTCGTATGGTTGGAAACCATCTAGCTAAGTTCCACAAGATGCGTTCGCAATGGTTGATCCCATCACGAAATCGAGAAGTTTCAGCAAGACAATTCGACGTGCGAATACAATATGTTTGCCAAACGCTGTCGTACTACCGAGCCCTCCCTGTCATATGTTGGGACCCTGCAGCAGGAGGCAGAGCAACGAAGGCCAGGAGACGACCGAGTAAGCGGTAACGGCGACGCCGAAGGGGTCGAAAACGAGCAAGGCAGCGGCGCACACGCCGCAAAGAAGGAGGGCGACGGTAGATTACCCCTTGATAAGGCAAGTGGCAAGAAATCTCGAGATGCCACCAACGGCGGCGGAGAAAACCTCGTTGGTTCCCTCGAACTTGGAGATGGAGGCGGCGAAAACGCACAACCGAGCATAGCCCAAGTGGACACCAAAGCGGAAAAGCGGGCTCGCAACACCGAGAAGCGCGGAGAAGCTGGCGGCGGCCGTGCCGGCGACAACGGCGACGCACGGCCTGAGCAGCCGCAAGTTAAAAAACGCAAGGGGAGACTCGTTCCCGGAAGCTTGGTGTTGACGTCTGTGTCGGCGGCGGACCTGCCGGACACAGAGAAGGGCGTGTTCTCCAAACAGGTGTGCCCTTAACCGTCTCGCGACCGCGCACAGCCGCCGACCTCAGACACAAAACGGACCTCCTTGCAGGTTGAGAAATAGGAGACGAAATCCTGGCAACGTCTCGTTGGGCCCCCGTCGTCTAATCGGTGCCGTTATTGTTATCTACCGGCTTGGGGGCATGCGTCCTGCATGCTTTCCTGAATTTTTTTTTTCTCTTTTTCCTTCTGCGTCTTCTTCTCGTCCTCTTCCGTGGCCTCCTTCGTTCGACTAGGACCCGTATCTCGTGGCCAGGTGGGGGGAACAGGAGGTGAGGACGAGCGCTAAGCGCGACTCCGGCAAGGCCTGCTCGTGGGTGAAGGAAGAGGTCGCGCTCCTTGTTCGCACGAAGAAGCAGCTCCAAGAGCCGATAGAGATCGAGGCGAGTGAGTGCGTGAGCGAGTGAGCGAGTGAGCGAGTGAGCGAGAACACGTTCCTACCCGCCAGAGTACTACGGTACGCGCTCCATCTTTTCCTTGCGGAGTGCGTGGCACAGCTGACACGCAAGCGGAAGAGGGGTATCAACAATCCGTAGAAATTGTCTTGGCGAGGAACCTCGCATGGCGACCGCTTTGCAGTCGAATATTGCATGCACATGGCAGTGCTGGACCTCCAACCCAAAACACGTTGCGTTCGTTTCGAGCCGGTGGATGGTTGAGCCGATCTGAGCTGATCCCCGAGGGGGAGGGCTGTATTAGTCCGAACATGAAGTTGGAAGACGCAGGAGCGTTACGGAGGCCACGTTAGGGCTACCAGTTACCGGGGACCAAGCGGAGTCGGGAGGCGGGGTTGGAGCCGAGACGCCTCCGGGTTGCCATCGTACAATCGGCGTTTGATGCCTGAGTTATTCTCGCACGCTCGGTGAACTTCAGTAATGAATGCTTAGTTTTCGGTGAATCTTGAGACACGACTGCTCAACGCCGATGGTCGGAGAGATTACCGCAAGGCCGCCATAGATACGGACCGCAGGCAGGAACAGGAGGCCCTACCTGGCCCTATACTTGCGTCCATGATTCAATCCGCACAGACAAGAGACAACAAACAGCAACGACAACGACGGCGGTGGTTTCGTAAGTAGTTCTCGGTAGGAGGCAGTCTCGGCATTCGCCGAAGAAATGACACCCGACTTCATGTCGCGAATCCTTAAAGAGCGAGAGACAACACCAATACAGCTAACAAACGACAGCGGATTCATACACCTCATGGTGGGAGGAGGTCCCGGTTCATCTCCGGAATAACCACGGCCGACTCTCTGCAGGTGTGGAACGACAACGCCGGCGACAAGAAACCAAGTCCCGACGTCCTCATCGGAAAAGGGTCCCTCCCCGTCAAGCACCTCGCCTCCGCCGATCCCGCCGCTCCACCCCACACGACTGGCGGTGGAGGCGGCAGCAGCGGTGGCGGCGGCGGCGGCAGCGCCTCTGCCGGGGTAGGGAAACGCAGGAATCGCGGGGGCGATGGCGACGAGCGGAACGACAACTACACAGATGACGAAGGGGGGAGTGACGGGGGGGTGGTGGTCACAGTGGCTCTCGTGCCGGGCGACCGGAGGGCACGGAAGAAAAATAACGCGACGGCTGGCGTCGTCACCCTCACGCTGGCGTACACCCCACCCAGGTGTGGCGAAACCCCGTGTCTTTTGAGCCGGATCGCGATCAGCGTCCTGCGAGCATATTGTACGCGGATCGTGCGAGTGCTTGTGCGCCGTCAACCCTACTCCTGGTGCTGGCCTCGGTCGATTCCACGTTTCGACAGAGTTTAAGGTGTATCGTATGGTTCTTCTCCTGTCTTGGGGTGTTCCTGTGTTTGTTGCGTTAATATGGTCGAATCAGACGAAACATTAGCTCTTGCAGGTTGGCGCACACACACGATTTTCTCCCGCACAGACAATAAGCGTGAGTGCGCGTTCATCACAACCGTTCTGGCGCCAGTCTACATACATTTCGATGTACTTCGTAAATGTTTGGCGTATCGGCCGGGGTCACACAGGAGCGTTGGCTCTATTTTTTTGTTTTTCTCCCCCCACCTTTCCTCCTCTTGCCTTTGTCTTAACGTGCCCACATCACACACGACCATGGGCCTCCAGCTTCCGGTATACTCTACTGCCGTACCCATCTCTTTTACACCTCTGGCGTGACATGTACGTCGCCGTAACGCCGACTGACCCACGACATCTCAGGAGGAAGCCTCCCAGGGCCACGAATGAGCAGGAGGCGGCGGAGGCGGCGGCCGCGCAGGCCAGGCGAGAAGGCGACCGGACCGCGACTGAAACGGACGACGACGCCCTCAGCAGCATCGCGGGGCTTTCTGCGTGGTCCATCCAGGGGAAACGAAATCACCTGTCTGTCCAAGAGTTGGGGGTGAGGAAGAGAGAGGGAGATGGAGAGAGAGAGAGAGAGAGAGAGAGAGAGGAAGGAATCGACAGAGGGGTGGGGAGGCGGGGGGAGGAGGCAGAGGGATAATACCAGAGGGAGAGACAGGTTCAAGGACACAGAAAGGGGCTCACGGAGAGAAAGCGTTTCGTCGGGTAGGCGATGCGTGAGAGTGGAACCTTACCGAAAAGTCTAATTTAGCGGGGAACCACCCCGTCTGGGTGCGTTGACGCTAGACGAACGGATGACGACGTGAATCGGGTGGCAGCTCATGAGTTGTTTCTACTAGCGACCAAAACTATGTCGATCCGAATTGGCTCTCACTCGTGTTTCCGGACCAAGAGAAGGCAATTTGAGACAAGAAATCTTATTCTATGGTGTGTATGGTAGTTGGTAGTGAACAGGCAATCTCACTGTGTGCATCGCACACCCTACCGGAGCCAAGAATTGGACGTGGTGGTCGCCATGTTTCCTACGAACGGTGGGCAACACCAGTATCGTGAACGCGCACGATCCGACGCGTTGACCAGATCGCGCATGTTCGTGTATAGCAAAACGTACATTCATTCGTCACCAAAGCCTGGAACCACACACACACATAAATTGCCCGAAGTACGAAATCCCCCCCCCCCCCCAAACTTCCACCCTAACACATCATCTCACCTCCCGAGCGCGTGTGGGATGAAAAACTTCCGCGCAACAGGCTGTGATGTCCCAGACATTGGAAGGCTTCAACATCAGGGAAGAGCTTGGCAAGATCGAGTGAGTAATCAATCCAAATAGACAGGGAAGTAATTGCCAGTCGCCACGCCGCCTCGCCCCTCTGACCAAACGGTAAGCGATGACGTAAAAAGGGAGGGTGTAGGCCTCATTCAATCGAGGCCTCTACAGCATGTGCCACAACCTAGGAACCTAGTTTTTCGCGCAACCCTCGTTCTGTATTTGATCAGTGCGCAGGTAAGGCTCTCGAAGCTTTTATTTATCTTGAAAATCAAACCCTCATCTTCTTGAATACCAGTTTCTTGAACGGTGGCGCGTTTCATACATAATCTAGGGAAACAAGTTTTTGTTTGTTTCCTATTACACGCGTCGTGTCTGCTTTCAAATCATGTCAGCTTCTGGCGGTAGTCACAACATCACTCCTTGCCCGGACGCTGCCCTTTGACTCGCTCGGTAGTTGTCTCAGGTTCGTGCAGGGGATCATCAACGAAGGATTCGGCCAACGCGGAGCGTTTGCCTACATTCAAGAGGTAAAACAGGTCTAACGCGCCTGCCTCCTATAGCAGTCCTCCCCGACCCACGCTATTTGGCTGGCGGCGGAGGCATGTTCGGTGTGGGGTTGTACAAAGGGGAGTTTCGTTACCTGGTACTTCTCTCGTGTCTTTGCTCATGCGATGGCTTGCTTTGGGGTGTGCTGGTAGAAAATCATCTCGATAATGAACCCCTGACTTCGGTTGGCACAAGCTTAGTGGTGCGATGTGTTTTTTTGGCGAGAACGGCCTAGGTAAACTGCCAACATGTACCCACCGACCAGCGGTCGTAGTGCTCTGCCCCTGCCGAGATACAGCCAAAGATTGTCTACTCACCACCCGCTGTGCACTGGATTGCCGGCCGATTGCTGCCTTTGTTTCTCGTTTGTTATTTTTTTCCTCCATATTGTATAACCTTTTTCTTCCACGCCACTCTTTGTGTTGGATTCTTCTCGCCCTCTCTGTTTTCTCTTTGATTTTATTTTCGCAACATGGTAACAACAAAAATAAACCCACTTCGTCTGGTTCATCGGTAGTCTCGTCCACATTGATTGGTGGATTCGGGGGTTGGTTACACATCAGACGAGCTCTTCTCCATAAGAAGGAGAAATGAATAAGAACACATCCGATCCATGCTACAGGAGGAGCATTATTTCCTTGTGTATCGCCGGCGTGATTATTTTGCTTTGCAGGAACACTTGGTCGGACACCCAATCTATGCCCCCCGCGGCGCTCGGAAGCGTTTGCTGGCCCTTGCGGAGCTGATTCGTCTGCAGATGAGAGCGGAAAAGGAGAAAGTTACGGCCGTGGAGGTGAGACGAAGTGGCGGATTGGCCGAGTGTACGATAATCTTGAGTGTGTAAACGCCAATCAAGTCCCCCCCCCCCCCTCCCCTCTCTTCCTCTGTCTCTGTCTCTGTCTCTGTCTCTGCCTCTGTCTCTGTCTCTGTCGCTCTCTGTCTGTCTGTCTGCGTGTGTGTCCCTCTCTCTCTCTCTCTCTCTCTCTCTCTCTCTCTCTCTCTCTCTCTCTCTCTCCTCCTCAGATACTTTCGTACAGCTTGGATCACACACAGTAGGCCTATAGAAGTATTCCCTTAAGCTCCCCTCATCCCCCGTCTTCTGCTTGCTGGTCGTGCATTCGTTTTTACAAGTAGCGAGATGGTACGGCAATCAATCCTCGTTTCTTCGTCGAAGAAGAAGTCGGAGTTTTCGCCGAATGTCCGTCGGGAAAACACTAGTATCTAGCGTTTGTGTCCCTGGATGAGCTAAAGCATTCAAGGAGTATCTTCCTAAACGCAACAACATATGAATTCCATACATGTGCAGAGGATAGCCTACCAACAAGGTTTGGATCGAGAACTACACAGCGTTTCGGGAAAACACATTCCCCCTGCTCAACAGCACAAACCACTTCCGAGCGAAGCAGCACCAAAAACATGCGGTATCCATCCTACCGGCGCGAATTCTTGCATGCATGCAAACACCAAAAAAATCAGGACATCGCCGAGGACGGGTCGCCGTTCTGGTCTCCAGCGCTCGAGCGGGGCTACACGACTGATGGAGTTGCGTTCTTCGATACGCTGGCGGCGATGAACTATTCCCTCGAGGAGGATAGGGCCAAACTCGAGTTGACGAAAACGAATGAGTTCACCACCCAACAACAGGTAAACTACGTTGCAACTGGCAGAGATGGTAAAAAGGGGATTCATTTGGGGGGCTTCGTTCCATCATCGTCAACAACAACAACCAACCAGCTTGGCCATCGGCATACGGGATTTTGAATGCAACTGCCTGACCACGTCCGTTTGCCTGACCCATACAATATGCCTTACATTGAACTTGCATGCGCCATAATCGGATCGGTGTGTATGCCAATTCAGCCCCCTTGATCTTCTCCATCCTCGCTGCTCGGTATTTTGAGTGGTTCGAGTTTTTCTGTCTACCGGCTCAACTTCCACGTCTCGGAGGGATGATCACCACCCCCCCTCATCTCTTCCCCCACCTTTCTTTGCCGCCCAAGGATGCTCCTCCTCAACCCAAGCCCCCCAAGCCGCGCAGCGCCGCCAAGGAGAAGGTGAGGGGACAATTCAATGTGGTGGTGGTTTTGGTGACGAATAACGGAGTGAACCAGGGTCCCCTCTACCACTCGTTTTGAATCATAGTTTGGACACTCGTCGGAGATGATGGCGGTGACTGACGTTGGTGGTGGCGTGCTGCAAATTAGACTAAAGGAGAGGGTTTGGGTCCGTCGCTCAATCCAACCGCAACGAGCGGCAGGGAACAACGGCAAAAATGCTGTACACAATGATTTTTATCCGTACGTGCATTTTTGGGCCTGTCTTCTTTACCAGCTCGTTTGACACACAAATGCCGGTGCGATAAACACCAGCTCGCCCCAGATGTCCGCTGCCCAAGCCTCGGAATGTCCTATTTTTTCACAAGCTAGGGTACACCACAGCTACCAGTTCCTTTCTCCCCCCCCCGAGGTCAATCCGCCCCCCCTGGTGTTTGCCATCGGGGTTGGGTTTTCGTCGCTTGGCAGCGATGTTGTAAAACAAGCCGATCACTTCGTGAACTCGGCAACCAGGTTACCGCTTTTGCCTTTTTTTTTTTTTTTGCGGTAACCATGAATGGTGGTCGAGTAGATTATGTTGTGCGGGGTCGAGAACCCTCACTCCACGCAAAGGAGACAATCGCACGTTGTGTTAAAATGGTCAAGCACCCTCGAGGCAGTTACACAGCGCTTCTAACTGTCTCTGGGAGTGAAAGCACCAGAAAATAAATTAGTCAAGTAAGCACAAGATGCCGAACACCCTTAGCAGGATGCAGCGCACCCTTCATGCGACTCGCCGAATACCTCACGGAGCTTCGCGCTTGGTGATGCGAGAGCCTGGTCCGGTGAGAACCCGGCGTGCTCCGTCTCGGCTTTGTAGGGATGCGAGGTCAATGGTCTAACGACTACGGCATGCACGACAATGAGTACCCCCCCCCCCCCCCCC